TTCCTTCCTTCCTTCCTTCCTTCCTTCCTTCCTTCCTTCCTTCCTTCAGATCTTGCTTTGGGGAACCCACTCTCAGGAACCTTTGTTTCTAATAGTACTACGTGCAGAATCTAATCTCAACCAGCTTTCTCAGGAAAGTCCTAGTAGGACACTTCTTTCTTCTGAGTCCCCCACCTCTCTTTCTCTCTCTCTCTTTGTTTTTTTCCGAGACAGGGTTTCTCTGTGTAGAACTCACTGTGTAGACCAGGCTGGCCTTGAACTCAGAAATCCGCCTGCCTATGCCTCCCAAGTGCTGGGATTAAAGGCGTGCGCCACCACTGCCCAGCCTGAGTCTTCTCAAAATGTCCTTAGATTGGGACTTCTAGCAGTCTTTGTCCCTCTAGACTGCTTTTTCAAGGCCATAAACTACCCAAGCATGGCTACCGAAGACCAAACTCAGGTCTTCTGTGAAAGCAATATACATTCTCAGCTGATAGCTTTTTATGCAGGATCTACCTTGGAGATTGAAGCCAGGTCCTATGCTCACTGGGCAAGCATTTTACCAATGGAGCTGTTTCCACAGGCCTCTCTGCCCACTACTGCAATGATCACGCTATTTTGGTGGTATTCTTCCTGGTGTGTGTGCTATATTACCTTTAGTTTGTCTTCTACTGCCAGTGTAAATATAACCAGCCTTAGTGCCAACATGGCCCTGTCTTTACTGATAGGATGGTCATGTGTCATGTTCTTGCCAAGTGGGTATACTTGACAATGAACAAATGTTACTAGTTACCTTTTGTTTGGCTTCACTGTTTTGTTTGAGATGGGCTCACTCTATAGCCCAGGCTGGCCTCAAACTTAGAGCAATCCTTCCTCCTCAGCCTCCCAAATGCTGAGACCGCATTCATGAGTCACCACACCCAACCTCTTTCTCTTATGCTGGGCATATGTGTACTGTCGAGCTTCAGCCCCAGCCCTTTGGTTTATTCTCCATTGTCTTTATGACTACTCTAAGACTCACTCTCCCCAGAATCTCCTCTTAAAGACAAGACACACAGGCCACAGGAAAGTCTGCATTTTATTTGTGCCCATAACCCCTGGAGGATCAGCCCCTACTAGATGCAACCCTTCCCCCACACCTTCACAAAACACTGATTCTTTCACAGAAGCTAAAATGACCCCCTAGTTACTGACTACAGCCACCCCTTCCTGTCCCTAGGACAGTATGTCCTTCTAGTCTGAGGGCGTGGCTCCCTTTACTTGGCTTCTCACTTGTGTTCCAAGTCCCCTCCTTAAAACCCTCCCTTCCTGACTAGGTTCTCATCTGCCCTATCACCAGAGTGGCTTTCTGCCTTACGTCCATGCCAGGCCTGGCAGCCTCCTCACTACACCCAACTAGGACTACCTGCAAAAACACACTTGTTTTAAGACTCCAGAGACCAGGGATCAGGCTGGCTCCTTGATTCCCTGAGGGGCTTGGTTTCTCAGTTGCACCGAAAGGGCACAGAAACTGACTAAGCCGAATAACCCATAATGGGAGTAGGCAGAGGGGAACCTAGACATGGATGGGATAGGAAAGTGAAATGAAGAGACAGTGTGAAGCTGGAGGCAGAGGTACAACAGACCTCCCTCCTCCAGCCTGGACCTGGACCCTAGGTGCTGCGGGTCCTCTGGCTTCGGGCCTTATACACCTCAATTAGCAGGTCCTTCACGTACTGGATCTCCCTCTCCACTGACTCGGCCCTTTCCCTCAGCTCCCGGTTCCGTGCCTCCAGCCCCTGGCATTCGCCCTCCAGGGCCTCGCCCTCTGCCCGCTTCCTCTGGCGGTACCTGAGAGCAGCTGACTTATTCTGGTCTCTCTTCTTTTGCTTGCGGTCCCCTCGGGTGCTGGCAGGACTAGGATAGGGGGCTGGGCGGGAGGGTGAAGGCAGAGGGGCCAGAGGAGGAGGCTGCTGGGGGACAGGCAGGGTTGACAAACCTGAATCCCCTGGCCCAGCCTCACTCCGGCAGTAAACAGCCAGAAGGTCCAGGGTATCCAGGGTAGGAGGCTGTGGGAGGCCAAGGGTGGGCAAGGGCAGGGGCAGAGAGGGGGCGGGGGGGGGGGGAGGTGGTGGTGGTGGGGAGAGCGGTGGGAGGAGTGGGGCATCAAGGAAGAAGTCTTCCATTTGTTCTAGCTCCTTCTTGAGTAGGGATGCCATGGCTTCCAGGTCAGGGGGGGCTGGAGAGGGTGGGGGGAGAGTGCCTGGGGGCAGAGGGGCCTCCAGAGGAAGGAGGGCTGTGAAGTCCACCCGCTCAGTCATCCAATCAGAGAAGCCGTCACCTGAGGATGGAGGATAACATAAAAGTCCCTGAGGTCTGTGCTTTATCCACTTGGTGTTCACTCATGTCCCATTTACTCAATGACAACTGACCAGCCAGCCAACCCTCAAATCTATAGGCCTGTCAGCAGACCAGTAAGTCAGGGAATAAACCAATCAAGCAACCAACCAACCAGCTAGCTAGTTTACTCTCCAAGCTACTAACCAATGAACTAATCATCCAATCAACCAGTCAGCCCGCCATAAAATTTACTAGCCAACCAATCAACCAGCCAATCATACCATTCACCAGCCAATTAACCAACAAATTCATTAATCAATGAAAAAGCCAGCCAGTCAATCAGCCAACTATAGTTTACAATCAACAAACAGACCCACCATCAATGAATGAGCCAACCAACCAATCAGCCAACCACACAGTTCAGTAGCCAACCAAGTAACCCATGAAGTAAGCAATGAACCAGCGAACCAAAGAGTTCACCAGCCAACAATCAGCTAAACCACCATCTAACCAATGATCCAGCCAACCAGCCAATCACCCAATCAGTTCACCAGGCCACCTGCTGATGAACTAATCAAGTCACTAACAAATCAATGAACAAGCCAATCAATGATTCAAATCAGTCAAGCAACCAATTTACCAACTAACCGATGAACTCACCAGCCAACCACTCAGTGAAGCATTCACCCAACTAATGATCCACCCAGCAAAGGTCGGCTCCCATTTCTGTAACCCTTCTCCTGGGCTGGTTGACTGCACCCACACCTATGTCTTCTCTCCTTTCCTACTTGTTTACTTATTTAGTACTTACTTATTGGCAATAGAGTCTTGTGTAGACTTGGTTGGCCTTGGACCTGCTTTGTAGTTTGTGACTGAGGACAATCTTAAACATCTGACTCTCCCAGAGTGCTAGGATTATACTCAACTCTCTCTCTCCTCCCTTTCCCGTGTGTGTGTGTATGTGTGTGTGTGTGTGTGTGTGACTCACTCCATCTTTATTTGTTCTTCTTTTCTATCTTTGAGATGTTTGATAGTTTACTATCTTAGATGTTTGAGAATTATGTTCTTCCTATGCTGCCTACACTGGCCTGGGCTCCAGAGAATGAGAAGCCTCTTGAACAGGGGGAGCTATGAGCATATGCCACCAGGTGCAGTCTGGGACGACCATCTGTTACACAGTCAAAAGAGACCGTCTGCCACAGAGTCTCTGAGATGGAGCACCCCTCCCCCCCCCCCCCGGCCTTATCATGGCTCCTTTTCTCCATCCCTTAGCCCTATGTTGTCTACTTGGAGAAGGCTGACTTCTCAACTATTTCTTTCATCACTTTCAGCTAAGTTTCGGTTTCCCACTTCCATCTTCTGATGTGCCAATGCGCTGAGGGACCCCTTGCTCTGAGCCCTGCACACGGAGAACAGTGCTGGGCACACTGCAGGCCCTCAGTACTGATCTTGTGAATGAATAAATTCTTCCTTTTCTGCCCACCCCCCCTCCAGCTCAACCCACCTCTCTTCTTTACCTGTTCTTACCTGCCAGGGGCTCTCCCCCCCCTGGAAGCCCGCCCTCCAGGGCTCCCCCAAGGACCTCATAGGGGCCCAGGGGGGCAGGGGCCAGGGGGAGTTTCCCATAGTCTACGAGCCAGCCCAGCCCGCTAGCTGGGAGCAGGGCCCTGTCCAGCTCCAGTCCCAGGGTCGCCAGGAGTGACATGGCTGAGGCACAGGCACAGGGCAGTGACAGCAATGAAGGCTGCACCAACAATTGGGGGGCAGCGTGGAAGATTGTTCAGCTGGGTGAAGACAGGCACCAAGGCGAAGGTGGAGGACCTGTGAGGACGATAAGGAGGCGTGGTGGGGTTGAGTCAAAGCTGCTTGATCCACAGGCTACACACACTTTCCTTCTTTCCACAAATTCCAGCACTCCACACATTCCCAAGGCAATTTTTTGAAACTCCCCAACCCCATCTCCTCCCTCAACACAAAAACCTAGTGTTTTCCCAGAGGAATTACCTCTAGTCCATTCTACCCACCTCATCTTATTCTCTTCATAAAAGTTTCAATCCCAAGGGAATTTTCTTCTAGCTGTGCCCCTCCCGCATCAATATTTTCTTTAGGCTACACCCCCTTTAGAGTCCACAGGGGTTCCCAAAATAATTCTGCATGCCTGGGCCCTTCATCAGTGTCACACACAGAAATTCCACTCTTCCCTTAAAATTTTAGGTGATTTCTAAAGAGCCTATGGGAAGCCCCGCCCACTCTTCAGTCCGTCACAGTCAGTTCCCGCCCCAATTAGCAAGTCCCTAGAGGCTCCGCCCCTGTGGTTCTAGCTCCAACTCTTTGTTAAAGTGTTTCTAAGCCTTCCCTGTCAATTTAAGCCAGTGCCCGCCCCAGCAGGTGCCTGATTGGAGGGAAGTTGGGCCTGAGTCAGAGCCTCGAGGAATACCACCCTTCCTCGCTGACTGCTCGCCTAGCGACAAGACGCAAGCTCAGACCCTGGACCCGACCCATTGTTACGCCACTACCCTCCTGGGGGACCAGTGTCGTGTGTTTAGCCAACTACCGGCCGCCCTCGGTAATTCAGACGGGGGAAAGGTAATGCGCATGCGCAACAGGGTGTATGCGTTGGAGCCGTATTCTCTGAAAAAGAGGCTGTGAGTTAGCGCGCAGGCGCAGAGGCGCGCGCGCGCCGACCTTAAAAGCCCCCAAACTTTCCGGAAGCACACCCTCCCCCACTGTTTGAGCCTAGTGCGCTTGCTCAGCGGATGCGCGGGTCACCAGCTTCCCTCTTCTGCGCCTGCGCGACCGTGGTTCTTCACTTCGTCTCCCCCCCCACCCCCCAAACGAGGCTGACCCGTGAAGCCCCGCGAGCTCTGGGAAAGGGCGGGAAAGGCGGTTGGAGAGGGAGGGGCGAGCGGTTACTTACTCCATGGCTGCGAAAAGGAAAGGAGGCGACGGCGGCGGCGGCCTCAGCTGAAGAGACGGTGTGAGCGGAGAGTGAAGGCGCGGTGAGCGCGGAAACGGGGCGGGGACACGACGGAGTCGCGGCTACAGAGCCATTGCGCGGGCAGAGGCGGCGTGGCCGGAGCGTTAAGGGAGACTGTGCTGAGAGGGTTGAGAATGAGGCGGCCCGGGAGCCTGGGGACAAATATACCGGGGCGGCGCAGCGCGGGCGCCCGGATCCCTCCGCGCCCCGCCCTCGCGGGGCCCCAGCGGGGCGGTGGCGACCCCGGGCCCGCCATGTCGCCCCTGCCCTCCCTCCACTGCTTCAGGCTGAGGGACTGGGCTCTGTCTCCTGAATCGGTCGGATCCTATTCGATCTCTGTTTCACAAACACAACCAGCTCATCTCGCTAACTCCCTGCTTCACGAATTTGCCCGGTCCCCAACCGATGTAGCCCCGGGAGACCTCGTGGGTTAAGCTCTTCGCAGAATGGCGCAAGCTAGCTTAGGCTTCATAGACGAGTTCAAGGTAGCGACAGCGAGATAATGTCTCCCAACTATTTACAGATCGCTGTATACACGCACTAATGTACCAGCTATGGAAAGTAGGCCACGAAGTCCTAACCACCATGTGGGTCCCAGGGATGGAACTCAGGTTCATTTGGCAGCCTTTATTTACCCACTGAGTCATTTTATATATTTAAAGTCATTGTATTTTAAAAGAAAACCCTGGGGACCTGATTTCACCTCTTTCAATCTTCCTACCTCAGATTCTTAGCCATCCAACATGTCCATATGATCGTTCTGTGTGTCCCACCTCCAAGGTTTCTGTTCCATCCATCCCTACTTGCCCTCGTTCTACATGCTAGTGCTCATCCCTGCCGACCTCTTAGGTTTTGCCCCTTGCTCTGACTTCCTGGCAGTTCTTGCTCTCTTGCTGGCCCCACTAGATAATTGTTTCTTGATCCTACCCAAAATAGGACATTTATATTCCATTTAAGAATCCCTCTTGTCCTACCCCCGAATGATACATAAACCCTGTTTCTCACCCGGTGTTCATGTATATAGCTGGCATTGCACGTGGAAGCCAGTCAGCCTATCATATTTGTAGCAGCTGAGAGACTGAATGGGTGGAGATGGAACTCAGTAGAATGCTTGCCTGTTTCACACAAGAACCTTGGGTTCTGACCTAGCACCACATGGACTGGGCTTGGTACTTGCCTGTATTCCCAGCATTTGGGAGATGGAGAAAAGGAATTGTGAGTTGGTCATACTAGCTGGCCTCAATGTATTTTTAAAAAGAAAAAGTTCAAAGGCCAGGCCTGGTATCTTAACCTGTTTAGGAGGCTACGGCAGGAGTATTGGAAGTCAAGGTCAGGGCTGGAGTTGCTTTGAGATGGCTTAGGTGGTAATCTCTAAACCCAGCCCTCTTGAGTTCTATTCCCAGAACCCGTGTGATAGAAGGACAAAAGCAACTCTATAGATAGTTGTCCTCTGACCTTCACCACGTGTGTGGTGACAGGTCTGCATACTGATTTAAGAGTGTAATTTAGGGCTGGAGAGAAGGCTCAGTGGTTAAGAGCACTGGCTGCTCTTCCAGAGGACCTGAGTTCAATTCCCAGCAACCACATGGTGGCTCACAGCTGTCTGTAATGGGATCTGATTCTCTTTTCTGGTGTGTCTGAAGACAGCTACAGTACTCAGATACATAAAATAGATAAATAAATCTTTTTTAAAAAAGTGTAATTAAAAAAAAAAGTTCAAGGCTTGTCTGGACTAGAAAGTGAGTTCTTGAGTTCTTAAAAGATCCTGATTTTAAAAAATTATATGGGCTGGGGTTGGAGGTTACCAGAGTGTTGGGTCTCAGCTGCTTTCCAGGCCCTGGTTTCTATCCCTGGTTCTGTAAAAGAAAAAAATCAGAGCGGGTGGGGAAAACTGATTTTGAAAGCTACAAGCAGGAAGTCCCTGCGATTTTTCCCTTGGAAAAGATTTATGTATGAGTACACTGTCGCTCTCTTCAGACACACCAGAAAAGGACACCTGATCCCATTACAGATGGTTGTGAGCCACCATGTCGTTGCTGGGAATTGAACTCAGAACCTCTGGAAGAGTGATCAGTGCTCTTTAACACTGAACCATCTTACCCGCCCGGAGTGGGCACTCTTATCTGCTGCCAGTGTTTGATCACAAGTAGCCACATGATCTGATGTGTTCAGACTCCAGCCCTTGTTTGCCAGCGTGGGCTGCCTTAAGTCTGTGTGGAGTCTGCTTAGGTTAGACAGTGACTTAAAGGCTGCCACTAAGACAGAAATGGGGTGGACTCTGCTAGACATTCTACCACCTGAGCTGTGTCTGGTCCCCACAGGTGCTGTTTTTATTTGAAACAGTATGCCATGTTGTGGTGCCTGTGATGCTCCTTTCATCAAATTTGGTATTTTAAAGTGAACGTTTGGAGTAATGAGGTTTCAAAGACAGTGCAGAGTGGGGTACCAGCCCATAGTCTTCCTCATGGCACTTCTGTCACAGCCAAAAGGTCTGTACACCCTTTTTCTGTCCTGGGGTGCTACCCAGATGCTTCCCCGCCCCCAAATCCACCTTGACTCAGTTGTGCTGAAGTGAGTGCTGGTTTTCACATTTAGCTGCCCCATTCTTCCCAGCATGTGTACAGCCATCACTTTATGGTAGTTGTGGTGGTGATCATCCATGGAGGCCTGCCACCCTGAGCCTTGGCCAGTACCCAGACTTGTGTTCTGTGTGTATCATGTGTGTCCCTAGCTCTTAACCAGTCTCAAATGGCAGCCTGGTCTCTTTCCTTTCAGAAAACAAACAAGTCCTGTGGGGAGTCAGAAGCTAGGGTGGAGCTGCTTGGAACTCTTTTCCAGTGCGGAGGGGCCTGAGCTGGGGAGTGAGGCGGCTGGTTGCAGGCAGTTGCATCAGCCGTGGCTCTCATGGTTAGGAAGGAGTGAGGGAATTCTCTGGGGACCACAGAGCACCTGGCAACAGCTCCTAGGTAGCAAAGACTTGGATAGAAGCTCCCTGGGCAGAACACAGAGAATCTGGGGCTTTGTGCTAAGAAGGGGCCTAGCATCCCAAAGGCCCCTAGCTTGGTTGTGAAAGACAAGACTGGGGTCTGGAAAGGGTAAGAAGAATTATTCATGGCCACAGTTGTCTTTGATAGAGCAGAGCTCCCCACCCTGTCCTGTGAGGCCTCAAACCTGGACTATTACCTAGGTTTTGTTGTTGCTGGTAAATTGTTTAGATTAGTACGCAAAGAGGTTTTGTTGTGACACTTCATATATATCTTTATTCTTGTTCATCCAGTTGCTTCTCATCGCCTGTACTGTTGTGGCAAGCCCTGGTTTCCCAGTTGAGAGAACAGCCCGATGTGATGGAAAAGGATTGGGCTTTATGGGTTCTTTCTGTGGCCAAGAGTTGGTCTGCCTACTTACATTTTGGTGGGGGTGGGCATGAACCTGCTAGTTGTCTTCCCAGTGTAAGTGCACTTGCCATCCTGTCTCTTCTCTTTTCCTAAGTAAAAGGTCTCATCTGGTATAGGGAGGGATGAGTCTTCATCGGCACTGTGTAATGCTTTCGGGTGGAAACTAAAGGTGTAGCTCAGGGAAAGCTCTTCTAGGAGCTCAGAATCTGGTGTAGCTTCTCTTCCTATCCTACCATACTTGTGTGTTCTGATCTGCCTAACAGGTGGATATCTGTGCCCATGACTATCTCCTCCAGCACATAGAGGACAAGGTCGAGACTTTGTTCTTTCCCAGAATCATATAGCCCCCAGCACTGTGCTACCCCCACCCAACCCCCTTGGGCAGCAGCACATTTCAGAGTCAGTTGCTTGTGTGAGGACAGAAAACTTGATAATCTGCACACAGTGCTAGGGATCGAGTAAAACTGGGTCACTAAGGCCAGTGGGGCAGGGGTTGGAGGTGTGGGTGTCCTGGCAAACAAGGACAGGAAGGCCAAGGTCAATTTGGCTGGGGAAAGGGCAATGCCACGTGGCCAGATGCTCAGAGTTCTCTGGAGCCCCTGCCCTTCCCTTACCCCCATTAGAAGTCACTGTTGTAACTTATCACAGAGTTGGCCTCATGCTTCTCTATACCAGCTCCCACATTTTGAGTGTCACCTGTACTGGTTCATCCCTCTTGCTGTTATGACAGGTTAAAACATACAGACAGCACACACTTGCAACCTTATTAGAATTCTGGAGTTCCCAAGGCACTGGGTTCCTAGCCATACCGGTATCTAGAAGCTGCCTCATTTTGAGGCTCCTTGTGTCCCCTCGGGCTTCTCTGCCTCCATCCAACTTGAAACTTCTTCCTTTGAGCTTCCTGCGTTCCTTACAGAAGCCCTGTGCTTGAGCATTGGGCTCTCCCAGATCATCCAGGATGGTTGAGTCTTGAAGGAGCCTGTATGTAACTTGTGCACACTGACTGCTTTGCCATGGAATAATGTTCACAGGCTGACGTGGGCACCGACTGATGTAGAGGAGTCTGGGTGGCCAGTATCCAGTCTGCCACGTGTGTTCTCTAATTCTTTGTCCTCTAGGAGGTATGCTGTTAGCCTGGATACAGGGAAGATAGTGGAGGGTTAGTCATGAAAGGGCTGAGTTGTTACAAAGAGACAGGAGGGCTGGGCAGCTGCTGCCTGGGAAGTCGAAGTCTAGATTTTGTCTGAAGTTCAAGTTTGAACTATGAATGAGTACTTCTTGATTCTTCTTTGTGCACAACTAACCCAACTGAGACCAACAGCACACCTCTAGGAACTTTAAAATACCAAATGTACCCTCTGAAAAGTCCCCCAAATTCTAAACATGCAACCACAAACTATCTGCAGCTGTCAAAATCAAGCCCCTGCTAGAGCATGAGGGCAAATCATAGGTGCTGTGGACAATCTGAAGCAGCCCCATATCCTACACCTGGAATTAAAACGAAAACTTATTTTTATATATTTCTGTGTTTTTTTAAGGAAACCAAAATTCTCGTACACCCAACAATTTGTGTCTAGCCCCTTAGAGCTTTAATCTGGGTGGTTTGGAGTCTGTATTCTCTCTGGCT